CTCCAGTCTGGGCGACAGAGTGAGACTCCAACTCAAAAAAAAAAACATCTTTTGAACTTGAATAAGGCTGGATATTATTATTATCCATCTGTATTTATTCTCCTGTGAATTATCTATTCATATCCTTTGCCTATTTGTTACTGTAGCATACTTTTGGTCAGTGAATTCCTGTTGGGCAATAATGATTGGCTTGATTTAAAAAAGGCTTGGCAACCTTTGTACCAAACTAACAGTGTTTACCTCCAGGGACCAAGACTATAGGAAAATGAGGAGAATGCTTCCATTTTTATTTTATATAGTCCTGGATTATTTGAATTTTGACAATGAACTTGCATTTCTTTTGTAATTTAAAAAAAAAACAGAAGAAACAACAACAACCAAATGTTTGTTCTGGGTTCCCATTGGCTGGAAATTCATGTTGGATGCAAGTCTTTATTGATCACAAGTTATTTTTTGGTTTATATGCAAAAATGTTTATTGAATGCCTCCTATTTGGCTAGCACGGCCCTGGGCACTTTCATAGGTATTTCATCCTATTCCTCACAACAGCCCTGTGAGGTAGGAATTGGTCCCATTTTACAGAGGTCTTACTGGGTGGGAGATTATTGCATGATATGGTCCATTGGCCACATGTTTCCATTGACTAGAAGTTCTCATTGGCTGGTGAGTCACTGGTCAAGGACTCTCATTATTGTGCTAAGATTCAAATAATCAAAATACTAGAATTTCCCCCCACAGGAATGATGGGACAGTAGAGTATCAGTGAAGAAAGGAGAGTCCGTGGGTCTCTCCCTTTGCAGCACCATTTGCGTTTGCGCTGGTCACCCGTGCACAGGTGGGTGGGACGGGGTGGAGGAAGAGGAGAAACAGTGCTTATAGGTCTTCTCGTTTCTGCAGGATGAGCTTCCTCACAAGCGCTGTGATCTGGGGCCTGACCTCCTCCACAGACACAGTTGGGTCCCAAGCCCCTACCACCTTTCCATCCGGAGCCACGAGGTACTTCCAGAAGTTCCAGGTGGGCTCCTTCCCAGAAGTCTCTAGAGAAAAAAGGAAAGAGGAAAACAAAGCGTGCTTCCCTGTGGGCCCTCTCCTGGAATTCCATTCTCAGTGTCCATCTTTCCCTGCGGCAGTGTAATCCCGATGCCCAGTCCACACCACAAACCACTTAAATCAGAACCTGAGGATAAGGCTCAGGCATCAGTAATGTACAAAAGTTCTCCAGAAGACTCCAATGTGGGGCCAAGGTTGAGAAGGACAGCTTTTGGATTCCGTGAAGTGCTTGATAAGCAGTATCAAATCATCCTTTGTTAATGACCTCAAACTACTGAATGGTCTACAGCCTTTTTTTTTTTGAGTTGGAGTTCTCACTCTGTCACCCATGCATGATCATGACTCAACATAACCTTGAACTTCTGGGCTTGGGCAATCCTTCCACCTCAGCCTCCCAGTAGCTGGGATTACAGGTGCATGCCCCCACACCCAGCTAATTTTTAAATTTTTTTGTAGAGATGAGTTCTCGCTATGTTGGCTAGCCTCAAACTCCTGGGCTCAAGCAATCCTTCCGCCTCAGCCTCCCAAAGTACTAGGAGTACAGATAAGCATAAGCCACCGTACCTGGTCAGTCTACACCCTATTCTTTAATTCATCCTTAATCGTTTCTAAGTGTTAGTCCATGGACTGGCTGCATCAGAATCATTGGGGGCGGGCAGAGGGGATTCTTAAAATAAACAGATCTTTAGGCTCTGCTTCAGCAGGTCTCAGGCTTATGCATGCATTTTTAAGAGCTCCCCAGGTGCTTTTAAAAAGCAAGGGCAGGTTTGATCTGTAAGTATGTGAACTGGGAAGGAACTAATAAAAGCACACAGGAAGAAAAGCCAGCATTAGGATGGGCTCACAGAGCAAAATGCAAATCTGCCTCAGTAAGGGACCTTTGGTTTGCTGCACTGTTGTTTCTCATGTACTCCTCCAGGTGACTGGGTTGCTGGGTAAGGGATACAACCAGAAACATGGAGTGAGAAAAGGCAAAAATGGAGCATCCAAAGGAAGAGAAGGCCTGAGGGAGGAAACAGACTTATAATAACCGGCTTAGCCCATGACCCCTTTTTGTAGCTTGAGGCTCCGGGGGCTGGAGAAGGAATCTATTTCTCACATATTAAAATCTAGTATTGGCCGGGCTCGGTGGCTCAGTCTGTAATCCCAGCGCTTTGGGAGGCCGAGGTGAGTGGATTGCCTGAGCCCGCGGATTCGAGACCCGCCTGGGCAACTTGGCGAGACCTCATCTCTACAATAAATCAAAAAAATTAGCTGGGCATGGTAGCACGCGCTTGTAGTTCCAGCTACTTGGAAGGCTGAGGTGGAAGGATCGCTGGAGCCCAGCAGGTCGAGGCTGCGGTGGCCGGGAGCGGTCACTGCACTCCAGTCTGGGCGACAGAGTGAGACTCCAACTCAAAAAAAAAAAAATCTAGTATTTTGGCTCAGAAGGCCTGAGACTTCACCTATGACTCCAGGACAAGAGATGCCCATCAGCCATCTTGGTCAGCCTTCTCCAGGCCGGTGGCATCCCTTGTCTGCGCCTTGGTTTTTCCATCGTCTAAGTCCATAAACTCAACTCATTCACACTGACTAAAAGGTGGAGGCCCAGTCTCCTTCTAGGAGCCCCTGAATGTGATGCCAGAGAAGTCCAAGAGAGTGACTGAGAGAGAACTGAGGCAGCAAGTGTGGAGATATTCTTAGGCAGGAACACCCCTCAGCTCGTAATGCCCCCTCAAAGATTTGCGCCAGAACTAATGAATCTACCTTAGAGGGTCAGGAGCAGGAGGGGACGCAGGTTACCCAGCTAGCCAGTGGCTACTGCTGCCCAGGGAGCCCCCGCCTCAGCTAGCTCAGGGGAGATGAGGGGATGAAGAGACCAGGACTCACGGGTCAGGTACTTGAAGGCAGGGTGGGCACCAGTGCCAGTGACTGCAACCTTGCTGAACATGGGGAATGAGACACTGTAAGTGCGGCGGGCAAAGCTCTCAATCTCCTTGTTGCTGTCGGGCTCCTGTTGACCAAACTGGTTGCAGGGAAAGGCAAGCACATTGAAGTGGTGGGGACCCAGGTCCCGCTGCAGCTGCTGCAGGGCTCGGTAGTGCTGATCTGTGAAGCCACACTCGCTAGCCACGTTCACCACCAGGGACACCTGTATGGCAAAAACAAAACAAAGCCCAGACACATACACAACCCAGTGAGAAGGCATGCCCTTGTACATGCCTTGACACGTCCACATATGTGACTCCCACAATAATGAATGCCGTCTTACGCATACAAGAACACTATGTACACATATGTAAATGTGTGTGCAGTGCTCTTAAACATACACACACACACACACATGGGCACATATGAAATCAAACATGCGGGGGCTTTCAGACATGTGCGCACACATACACAAACACTTGTTTTTTGTTGTTGTTGTTGCTTATTTTTGAGTCAGAGTCTCACTCTGTTGCCCAGGCTGGAGTGCAGTGGCACACTCACAGCCACCGCAGCCTTGACCTCCTGGGCTCAGGTGATCCTTCCACTTCAGTCTTCCAAGTAGCTGGAACTACAGGCATGTGCCACCACGCCCAGCTAATTTTTTGATTTATTGTAGAGATGTGGTCTTGCCATGTTGCCCAGGCTGGTCTCGAACCTGTGGGTTCAGGCAATCCTCTAGCCTCCTCCTCCCAAAGTGTTGGGATTATAGGCATGAGCCACTGCGCCCAGCATATGTGAGAACATTTGTAAGCACAAGTACACAATACACATAAACGGGTACGCACTTGCCCCATGACACAAACATACATTAGCAAACATCACACATGCCCACAAATACACACAGCACATTCACAGAGAGAGGTACACACAATGGTGATAACACACTGGGAGGTGATGTGACAGAGTAGAAACAAAGATAAACCTGGCTTCAATTTTTGGCTCAGGCAGCTAGCACTCATCACTCCACACTGTAGTTGCCTGTATGTAGTGCCAGTCTCCCTTCCAGAACAAGAACCTACTGAGGGCAGGAGCTACGTCCACTTCATCACTGGGCCTGGCATAAGGAAAAGTCTCAGTAAGTGTCACCTGAATGAGGAAGTGTGCACACATACACAAACATCCGCTTAGGTACATAGACAGACACAGGTTTTCTTGATTAAAGGACCCCCATATAGGCCAGGCACGGTGGCTCAAGCCTGTAATCCCAGTACTTTTGGAGGCCAAGGTGAGAGGATTGCCTGAGCCCTCGGGTTTAAGACCAGCCTGGGCAATTTGGTGAGACCTCATCTCTACAATTAAAAATTAGCCGGGCATGGTAGCACGAGCCTGTAGTTCTGGCGACTTGGAAAGCTGAAGCGGAAGGATCTCCTGAGCCCAGCAGGTCGACGCTGGGATGGCTGTGAGTGTGCCACTGCACTCCAGCCTGGGCGAGGGAGTGAGACTCCAACTCAAAAATAAATAAATAAATAAATAAGGAACTCCCACAGCCCCAGAGCAATCTCTTTTTGTCTCCCTCCTCTCCAGCAAACAGATACCACTTTTTTGATTACTAGACTAATCCCTGAATCTATTAAAGCCTTTGGGCAATAAATACAAAGCTGGTTAATCAAACTTGATTATAAAACTACAATTAGAATTCTGGCACCAATGCTATGTTTTTAGCTTCTAGCTATACATTAAAGGATTTAAAACCCTACCCTGTGCCTGGAAGCCTACCTCTATCTTCCTGATCACTTTTTTGAGAAGAGCTGGGATTATACAAACTGGCCCCATAAAGAGGGCCACCTCCAAGGGCAGCCCAGAGCCCTGGACAGGAACAAGCACAAATTGCTTGGGCTAGATAGGGTTTCTTAGCCTCAGTACTATTGACATTTTGAGCTGGATAATTCTTTGGTGTAGGGGGGCTGTCCTGTTCATTCATTTTAAGATATTTGACAGTGTCCTTGGCCTCTACCCATTATATGTCTAGTCTTTTTTTTTTTTTTTTTTTTGCGTTGGAGCCTCACTCTGTCACTCAGACTGGAGTGCAATGTCACACTCACAGCTACCGCAGCCTCGACCTGCTAGGCTCAGGTGATTCTTCCGCCTCAACCTTCCAAGTAGCTGGAACTAGCGGTGTGCGCTACCACACCCGGCTATTTTTTAAATTTATTGTAGAGACAAGGTATCACCATGTTGCCTGGTCTGGTCTCAACCCCCTGGGCTCAGGCAGTCCTCTCACATTGGCCTCCCAAAGTGCTGAGATTACAGGCATGAGCCACCGTGCCTAGTCTGGATGCCTAGTCTTGACAATCAAAAATGTCTCCAAATATTGCCAGATGTTCCCTGAAGCAAAAAATCACCCCCAGTTGAGAACTACGGGGCTGGATGATTTAACTATTGAGCTGTAAACTCCTATACCCTACTTCCAACAGGTAAGGAAGGACCCATTCCCTGAGGGGCCATGGGCTACTAGAACAACCTCTCCAGTTTGAGGCCAGCATATACCAAACTCTGCCTATGTGAGAAAGTGGGACTCTTAACTCCCTTCCCAGTAAGGTTTCTTCTTTTCTTTCCTGCTGGATCCCTGGGCAACGAGAACATTAAAGCTTTTTTATTTTTAACCTACATCTTGTGTGTCTGCTCACTGTTTTGGAAGGGGGAAAGTCTTGCTTCTAATTCCAACCCTGAAACCAAAAAGCTTGGACCTTAAAGACCAAAACAGACACAGACACGCCCAAATACACACAGTTAATTTACATATATACATACATAAGCACAGACACAGACTCAGATTTGTACATAAAAGCAGGCAGACAAATAAACCATTCACACACACACACACACACACACACACACACACACACACACACTACACTACACTCAGGTCTACTCATACATAATCCCACACATTCCTAAGTGATCACCCATTCATCCATACCCAACACTGGTCTAAATGAATGTCTTCCCAGTCAACCTGAGGGCATAAACTGTGTCAATTTTGCTCATGGTTATGTCACCAGGGCTGGACCCAGAGTCACAAATGTAGTAGGAGCCAGTAATGTGTGCAGGTAAAGGAATGAGTACATTGCCCAAGCAGCAGACCTAGCTTGGGTTAACTCACAGCACTGTATGCAGCTTCCCTAGACTGACTGTTCCTTGGTTTCTCTCTGAATTTGGGATAGACTCTGGAGTTGGGCTGCCAGGGTTCAAATTCTCATTCTACCTCTTAGTAGCTGTGTGATCTTATTGTTTTTGTCTCAGCATTTATCACTACTAAAAATTATCTTGATTATTTCTCAGTTCCTTATTCATTGTCTCTCTCCTCCCCACCTTGTATACATTCTTTTTTTTTTGAGTTGAAGTATCACTCTGTTGTCCAGACTGGAGTGCAGGGGCATGCTCACGGCCACCCCAGCGTCGACCTTCTGGGCTCTGGCGATCCTTCTGCCTCAGCCTTCCAAGTAGCCGGAACTACCAGGCGCATGCTACCATGCCTGGCTAATTTTTGATTTATTGTAGAGACAAGGTCTTGCCAAGTTGCCTAGGCTGGTCTCGAACCTGTGGGCTCAGGCAATCTACTTGCCTTGGCCTCCCAAAGTGCTGAGATTATAGGCTGAGCCACCAAGCCTGGCTGTATAAACTCTATTAAAGCAGAAACTTAGTTGAAATCTTGGTGCTGTGACGTGGTATTATTTGCATTAAAAAAAAAAAGCAGAAACTTTCCTGTTTTTTTTCACCACTGAATCCCCAGAGACTGGCCTAGTACCTAATACACAGCAGGTGCTCAATAATGAACAATGAATTAATGAGTAGCAGAGGCCAGGCTCTGTAGCTCAACCTATAATCCCAGCACTTTGGGATGCCAACGTGAGTGGATTGCCTGAGCCCGTGGATTTGAGACCAGAATTCCAAAAGCAGGTCGATGCTGAGGTGGCCATGAGCGTGCCACTGCACTCCAACCTGGGCAACTGAGTGAGACTCCAACTTAAAAAAAAAAAAAAAGAATAGCAGAGTTGGTCAGGTGCTAAACCTGGGGCTCCCTGGTGAGCTGCCCTAGAGAAAAAGGGAGGCCTGAAAGGGAATGGGTCCTGCTCTGCTTGGTTCCTTGCTTTATGTCCTAGATGAGATTCCTGCTGGCATCCATCAGACTGTACTCTACAGTTGATCAAGTACTTCCACAGTGTTATCTCATTTGAAACTCATAACAACAGCCCAAGGGTCAGTCAGGATGGGGATTACTGCCTCCAGGACTTCCAGCCTAATTGAGAATTTCCTTGCTTAGTGAGTAGTTTGTTCACTAAAGATGGCCTTGCTCCCAGAGAAGAGTGTTGACAGCCATTTTGTGATTCATCCAAATCTGGATGCTTGGCCTATCTGTCCACTAGAGTTCAATTCCCACTCTTCCCACACCAGGATCCCCAAGTCCATCCCAAAGGGGCAGTCTTGGAGGGTTCTTCATTACACACAATGTAACTTCTAGGCCTCTCAATGCAGTGTTCAAGGCCCTCTTGGTCCCTCTCTGGCCCCTTCAGCCTCATCTTGCACCATTCTCTCAGCCTCTGCTCTAGACTCCTTCAAGCACCACAGCTTGAAGTCCTCCTCTCATCCCTCCCCCACGCTTCCTGCTAAAACTTACTCTGGTTTCTTTTTTTTTTTTTTTTTGAGTTGGAGTCTCACTGTTGCCCAGGCTGGAGTGCAATGGCATGCTTACAGTCACCACAGCCTTGACCTGCTGGACTCGGGCAATCCTTCTGCCTCAGCCTTTCAAGTAGCTGGAACCACGGGCACACACAACCACACCCTGTTAACTTTTTGATTTAGCGTAGAGACGAGGTCTCACCAACTTGCCCGGGCTGGTCTTGAACCCTTGGGTTCAGGCAGTCCTCTTGCCTCGGCCTCCCAAAGTGCTGGGATTACCGGCGTGCACCACTGCGCCCGGCTTACTCTTATTTCAAAGACTCAACCCAGACATATTCCCTCTCTGTAGTCCTCTACGAACTAAGAGTCCCTTTTGGTAAGTCAGTGGCAATGAGCCCGGATAACTTATACCTTACATCTCATTCTGGCCGCCATCTAAGGAGTTTGCCTAGAGAGAACCCCCGATGGGGGAGGGGGGGGTCTCTTCCAAGCTCTGTCTCTCCAGTGCTGTGTGGCCTCGTGCCTTCCCTCTCTGGGCCTTAGTGTCGTCTCCAAAGGATGATCCGGGTAAGGTTCCCGTGGATCTAAAACGTTTCCTCCGCGCCGCACATTCATCCCCACAGAGTTCTCAGCTGGACTCTGTCTCAGCACTTCCTCCCGTGAAAGATGTGGAAACTGGGGAGGGGAGAGGCAAAGGCCACACAACGCTGCACTTGCCACCGCGAACGGCAAAGGCTGGGCAGGGGCACCCAGCCTCCCAGCGAGGTTCGGCTCCGCCGCCCGAAGGTGCCGGCAGTGAAGTCCGGCGTGGACTGCGAGAGTTCGGGTGGCACCGCGCGCCCGGGCCGTGCCGTGCCACGTAGCCGCGGGACAGACTGGATCC